TATATTNTNTATATATATATATATATATATNTAATNTACATGTATGTATGTAATTGTTTATGTATAAATATAAAGGTAGTGACTTTTTGCTGAAATGAATAAAGTTGCATATGATTTGAAAAGTCCTTTATGAGACATTGATGTGAATCCGCGTTATCGGGTATTGAGAATTTTCATTACCGTTGGCTAACTGGCGGCGTAACCATGGCAACAAGAAGAGTATCTGTCCGGTACGCCGATTTCGTATCGTTTGTTTGATTGTTCATGAAGTGATAGAACAATTACTTCTTGAGCATTCAAAGCGGTTCCACATATCGCAATGCCCTTGGCCACAACGACTGCACAGTATTCAAAGCTGAAGCAGCTAGACAAACGCAAGTATCGTTACTATGGTAATGTGACTTCGTTGCTCTCTGTGTCCGATTCTTACGAGTGCACAAGCACAATGAACGTGTATATTGCTCATCAGGGGCCAACTCACAAAGGCATAGGTCAAAGTGCACCCTATTCGCAAAGGCATAGGTTCGGGTGATACTCTATAGTAGCGAGTGAGATGCACATCTGCAATGATGTTGTGTCTAGTCAAACGATGATACCGTTGAGATAGGGCATACATCCGGTTTCGACATGTGAATAGTACTCAAATAAGCCATCGCATAGGCAGTGCATTGAATCTGCATTTTTTGAATGTGATGGCGTATTATATAATACTATATATCTAGCTATGCACCTATTCTAAAATCTCCTGGAGTTAAGGAGCAGACCCCGGGCCGTAGAAGGAGTCACGGAGACACAACAACGATATGATGCCATAGTATACGTGGAAAGAATACAGACGGCTATAACGTGCGTTCATGACAAATTGTGCATCTTGACAACAAACAATCGTCGCCCCATAACCAGTCTGGAGAGGTCGATTGTTTATTACAAAACTGGCCTCTGCTAGTATGATTGTCCCAACATCTTTCTACTAATCTCTTTCTTATCTTAAGTATTCGTACTTTGCTTTGTCGCGAAAGTTCGGTATATTTATTCCACAACTGGTCTCTGCTATCCTAATTCTCCCAACATTCTGCTACTGATCTGCCCCTAACCTAACTCTTAGCTTCCCATGTCGCGCATTGTCCACGCCTGGGTAGCCTCGATCACATCATAACATCAAGGCACTGTCATCGCAGGTGTCTATGCCTACCCTATTGCAATGCCAATTAAATGTTATCTACGGTTAGCCAATGCTTATTCCCTGATAGTTGGGTGTAACTCCCACTGTGGTGGCTGCTGTGCATTACTTGCAAACACACCAAGAGAGGCGTCGCTGAAGCAACAGACCCACTAACACACACATAGACCACCCTCGTCACCTTCACAAACCGACCAGCAAACATCACCAGGTGGTCACAGATGCGATCAAAACAGCACCCCTGCTCAAGTAAAAAGCACGTGTCTCTGCACTGCAAACAGCCTTCGCTATGCGAATCTATAGATCTCACTCTAACCAATTACCTCCAGTCACTTGTAAGGTAAATTACCTACAATAACTCCACTACAAAAGATTGATGACATTCCACTGACTTACAAAGCAAAGCGATAGCCCTCTACCTTGTGCGCACAATTGCCTCGCCTTGTCGAGCGTTGAATAATCTGATACCCTCTCACCACATACATACTTAGCGCCTCTGCCAAGTTAGCCTTAAACTATATATGCACATACATACATACATACATACATACACACATATATATACATATACATATACA